ACCCTTATCCTTAATTCAGAAGCAGTAAATCACAAACAACCCAAAGAGTCATTAGGTCTTCAAAAATTGCTGCGGACAATGGGGGGCTTTGAAGTCAATATGAAACTAAAATGGTCCCTAATTACTTTCTAATCCATGGTCTTATTGTCAAAGATTCATGAGTGAATGTTATTCCAAAGAAAAATCTTTATAATCTGCCTAATCATTCATCAAAACACCTTTGAAATTACTTTCCTTTTCCATTGACGTCACCAGGGCAGTTTAAGTTTCAACCGATGGGTGCCGACGACAAGCGACAGCAGCGTCTGGTACGTAATGGAGATTTTTCACAATCCAATCAATTCTATAATGAACAAAATTAAGTCCCGCTCTACATTTTCTTCTTTCCGCCACATTACCGAAGCAAAATGGCCTGCGAATGTCATTTCAAGTTCAAATTCTAATGTAGGCCTTGCCCAGCAAACTATAGTGTAGGATTACAATGTCCAGAGCCTATTTTACAATCCAATAAATGCAGCATTCCTTCTGTTAGTACAAATATTAATTCTAGCGGAATTGGATTAACAATGAATAGACATGAAACCTATTTTTGGCTTCTGACGCAATTCCTCCCTCACAGAGAGCTGCTAATGCAGTCCGGTGTCTGATCCCAAAGGCACCTGCGTCTCTCCAGCTGTGATAGCAGCAGTGAACAGACTCGGGATCTGTACGCTGACACGAGTACAGACTGTTAGACAGTCCTTAGCTCCAGCTGTCCCTGCATGTCAGACATCTCCTCCACGTAACGAATTAGCAAGTGGATTTATACAGGGCTGCGTGTGTATAGCAGGTTAACACGCAGCAGTTCAACAAACGCAGACTGAAGTGTGATGCTAAGAGCTCAGAGTTACAAGAACATTGTTTCCCCCCCCCCCCGTTTTAGTATCAAAACAAACCCAGTCTGAATGAGGATTAAGCTGCTAAACTCGTGTTAAAGGAGGACTTGGCAGGTCAAACACATTGAGGAGAGATGTAGCGCTTCAGTGCTGAGCTCAGTCATGACTCCTCAGCTGAGCAGATGAGCATGTGTAACAGTGTGAGGAGTGTGTGTGTGTGTGTGTGTGTCCACTCTCGCGCTGCCCCTCCTCCGCTGAGCCGATCCTCTTTCAGACTACATCTTTAGAATGCCACAGACCTGGTTGCCAAGGAAACCATGGGTGTTGACAATGGAAGACAAGTTTACGCCCATGTTAATCACTGCCTAGCAATAAGGCGAAGGGTTGCCAGTGGCACAGACTCTTCCTTAGAAGGCGAAATGAAATCAAAATATGAACTCAGAATTGCAATATAAATGAAGAATTCTGACTTTTTCTATTTTGAAATTCCGAGTTCATATATCTCACAATACTCAAATATTTTTTTCTGTGAATTCTGAGTTTACTTCTCACAATTCAGCAACAAAATAAAAAGGGTAATTACGACATTTTCTTGCAATTATGAGTTTATATTTCACAATTCAGACTTCTCAGTTGCGAGTTTACATCTTGCAATTCTGTGATATAAACTCAATTTATATCTCAGAATTGCGATATAACCTTTATATTATTTAATGCAAATTTATATCCCAGAATTCTGAGTTTATGTCTCACAACTGACTTTGTTTCAGAACCGCAAGATGTAAACTCGGAATTGTGACAAACTCACAATTTTAACTTTCTTTCTCGCAATTTCTAGTACATATCACAATTCTTTTTTCTTTGAATTCTGAGTTTACGTCTCGCAATTCTTCTTTTTTGTTTCCACAATGAAATAAAAAAGATAATTGTGACTTTTCCCCCTCAGAATTATGAAATTATATCTCACAATTCTGAGTTTAAATCTCACAATTCTTAGAACTGTGAGAAAAAAACGTCAGAACTGTGAGATATAAACTTGCTTACTGTAATTGATTTATCAGTGCATGTTACTCCAAATAAAATAATAATTATTATTTTTTTTAAATAACCAGTTTTACATTAAAAATACTTCCCTCTTCTAATAACGCTCACCAAGCTCTATTACTTCTCAAAATACAGTCAGTTCCCAATAGATAAAATAAATTCCTGCTCAGTTTTTTTCAGTAGGGATGGGGATAAAGCAGTATAAACCGGTCTGGTTTCCCAGGACTGCCAAACTGCTGTTTAACTAGTTTATCTGGATGCCAGCTGTTCTTCCAACTTAATCTGACCTACATTTTCATGACACTTAATTATTCACATTTAGTCACTTAACAGCCAATTTTACCTGTAGCGACTTCATAAGAAATATATTATGCGAGAACCAACAATACTTGCTGTACCTCAAGTTTCAAGAGTAGGTGTAGTATAGAAACTAGAGCAGAAGTCAAATGCAGGACGGCGCCTTTGTTTATGACTGTGGTTTAAGTTTGATCCATCTAGGTCCCCAGGGTGTAGCTCTTTATAATGCCTGATCAAAAGCCATAAGGAGTGCTGTGATTACATGTTTCTTTTGTAGAGTATAGACTATGCTAGCTAGCATTATACTAAGCTATTGTGATATGCCACCATTTTGAAGTTTTCGTCAAATATGGGGAAGTTTATATAGACAGACCCTCAACCCCTTGATTTTGACAGAGGGAGCGAGTGTACTCATATGTACACTTCACTTCATGTGACATCACATCACAGCATGCTTCATTTACCCCCTGAGTTGAATTGTTAATGAGACCAAAGGTTTGAAGCTCATATTTCACCACAGCGGAACAGAGAGAGTGAAGGATCTGGAATGTGATTTTGTACCTCGTTGTGATGGAATCGGCAGTCATCTTTCATTCACTGACCTCCAGAAGCCGGAGGGAACCAGCTTGTAGAAGTCTGTTGAGGTAGGAAACCGCTGTTCCAGTGATCAGAGCTTCAGTTCTTGGTACAGAAACACAGTGCTTTGCGTACAGCCTCGAATCAATAGAGTAGAAGAGAAAAAGAGGTAAACGGCGCTGGGAGCATTTCCCTCAGAGCACTGATGTAATTTCCATAAAAATGAGACGATTAGGAAGTGGTGAGAGAACATTATAAAACGAGCACTGAGGGCTGTGGAAGAGAAGAAAAAAAATCTATTGCCAGAAACACACATCACCACAAACCTTAGCAGTCATGTAAACCATGCATGAAACGGCAATGTTCAATTGTGAACAAACTGTTATTCTGAGTCAGATCTTTGATTTGCTGACAAATCAACTCAAGCCTTAGGATTTATCAAGACTTTAGAACTGAGAAATTGAAATGTACAAGTCACAAAGTACTTTTATGATACTTCTATGGTGATTTTCAGTCCATTGTGAAGTTTGAAAGCAGCAGTCCTGGTAAATTATTCTTTTAAAAAATGTAAATGTAGATGACTATGAACTGTGGGTGAAAATGGAGTGCATGAGGAGGCATCAGATCACATTTTAAGACAGGCTGTGTGGTTTGATGAGGGAATGAGCATGCTAAACAGCAGATTTACCTCCCACACAGTGAGCCGACACCAGAATTTGCCGTCTTTCTGCTCTGCTGCCAGTCAACGGCCGTTCGCTCACATGCCAATCGCTTGACGGATCAAGGACATTATAGTTTGCCATCCCAATCTGATGCTACGCTCTTGTAGCCTATGTTGCTCATATTTCTGCCTAGACTGCCAAATGAGTCTTATGTCGAAAAATGTGAATCTGGACACAGAATTCAACAATTTGTTGTGATAAGAGAGCCACGGAATGCTTTCACCAACACTGTGCAGTTCAGATTCAGAACCTACATAATGTAAGACCTCCAAGACGTCACCGTCCTAGAGGAATGAAGACACAAATAAAAATATCAATTCCAAACTTCACGCCTTTCAGCCATCAAACAGGCCTTCATTTCTCCATGGGGCTTATTCTCATTTGGGCAGGGGCTTATCATCAAAGGTGTGATCTGCAGCATTAATCAGGTCGCTAACATCGCTTTACGCTGTTGTGATAAGCTTGAAAGCCTGATGGTTCCTGCTGCTGCTGACCGTGTGCACCAATGCTGCTAGCGTTAGTCACGGCTCTCGCTCGTCATGCCGCTTCACTAGCACGAGAGGCGACGGTAATAGATTTCACACTCAACTGGTGTAAATTCTGCCACCCGAGATTTGACTTTCTCAGCCTTCACATTAAAACCAGCCAGTTTGAAAGAACATATTTATGTTCAAATAATATAGTAAGCCTAACACAACTGTTACACAAAAATGTAATTAATAATTTTGCATTAATAACTGAAGATTGGTTGCAATGCAACATATTCTGCAGACATAAATGGTCTCACAAAACCTGTCTAGATTATATTTCACCTCAGAATAAAAATCAAAATAAGATATTGCACTTTGCATGATGAAAACGACGCAATTTAGGATTTAATAAAATTATTTCTGAATTGTAAAATTATTTTCATGACAGTTTCCCCTCAATTTTTTTTATTGATTTAAAGAATACAGTCATTTACTTTTGGGTTTTGTAATTCTTTTTACTCTTATTACTGTAAAAACAATTTTCTAATTTTAATAATAAGGGCAGTACAGTAAATATTGCCTGTTGTATATTTTACAATACAATTATATAATCACAATATAATAATTGCATATTATACAATGCAATTTTATAATATAAATAATATTTTTTTTCCTCAGAAAAAAAAAAGAATTATATGATATATGCAGTCCCTCAATTTTTTTTATTGATTTAAAGAGTAGTCATTTACTTTTGGGTTTTGTAATTATTTTTACTCTTATTACTGTAAAAACAATTTTCTAATTTTAATAATAAGGGCAGTACAGTAAATATTGCCTGTTGTATATTTTACAATACAATTATATAATCACAATATAATAATTGCATATTATACAATGCAATTTTATAATATAAATAATATTTTTTTTCCTCAGAAAAAAAAAAGAATTATATGATATATGCAGAATGGTCATGAAAATGTCACAGTACAAAAAAACACTTCACTTTCTTTAAGAAATATATTTCTTATTTCTATATTGATTTTGTGATTCAAACGTTCTTTAAAGACCTTGTGATATTCATCTAACAATTCTAGAATTCAAAAATTAATTGACAATTTTAAGGGCATGTGAACAAATAAAAAAGAAAATGATTTTTTAATATTACAGTGACGTGTAATCAGATTCTCCTCGGTCCAACCAGCAGCAGTCTTTATACACAACTATCAACTTATATAGTCCTAAACACAGCTTTAAAGAAGCACCCCGTCAGTCGTTCAAAAACAAACAGGTGCAGATCTGTAAGGAATGAATGACTTTAAAAAAAACACATTGAACCGGTACACTTAAAATCTGTCATCTCTCATTGCTCATTCTGAACATGAATGATCCACAATGAGTATGATTCTTCATCTATCAGATGTCCCTGCAGCAGTTCAATCAACACTAAGCCTTATTGATGTAGCCCTCTTTGATAAGGAAATCATAGATTTTGCGTGTCTTGTTGACATCTATCTTGATGAGCGATCGGGCCTGAGCCAGCCGTAGACCCCCCTGCCGCCGGCACTCGTTCAGCAGGGCCTGTTTGTACTCCAGATACGCCCCAGGCACCAGACGAACCACCTGACATAGCTGAGGGAGATGATGAGAGAATCGTTTAGGATCCATTATATCACATCAATGAGGCAGATGTCTTCGAAATGAGCTCGTGCCAGAAGCAAAATCAAGATTTCCAAACCTCTTTTTCTCTCTCATTGAGTTTCTCGGTGCCAGGCAGTCCTGTTAGGTTGAGAGGAGGTGCGCTTCTTCTGCCTGTGGATCAGACGATTGAGAGCATTCAGATTCTCCTCATCAAGAACAGTTAGCAACAGATGTGTTGCAAGTTATCTATTAGCAAATAAGTGAGCAAAGCAATAAGCCACAGGACTGTGCATTACAGTGATTTCATTGCATTCAATAAAAGTACATGGAAACACTTTAATTTAGGGGCCAATTCATTATTATTAACAAGTGGCTTATTAGCATGTATATTACTGGCATATTGGCTGTTTATTAGTTCTTATAAAGCACATATAAATGTCTTATTCTGCATGATTATATTCTAGATCCCTTAATCCTACCCTATACCTAAACTTATTAACTATTAATAAACAGAAAATTAGGAGTTTATTGAGGCCAAAGTCATAGTTCATTGTTAGTTAATAGTAAATTGTTAATAATAAATTGTGACCAAATACATTTATTGTTCTTCTTCTTACTACTATTACTACTAATGATACAATTATTATTGTTATTATTATTATTATTAATTTAAATAAATACAAAAAATATTTTTTTGACAACTAATGAACATTTTCGTATTAGAACATTATTTTTATGACAATTTCCCATTAAGGTACTTCTTATTAAACACTGTTCCTTAATAATAATAATACTTTCTATTGTATTACTATTATTAGAGCCTCAAATCATAACACAAATTAAAAAATACAAATAATTGTTGGCATTTAATGCATAATTTAAACATTATTTTCATAACAATTTCCCATTAAGGTACTTCATATTATTATTATTATTAATAATAATAATAATGCTACTTACTATTATATTAGTATTTTTTATTATTAGAGCCTTAAATCATTAAAAATTTGCAATTCACACATAAAAACAGATTTTTGCATTGTATAATATATATATATGTTTTATATATATAAAAGTAATGAGAAATGGGGATTTCAATAAATTGATTTAAAATATGATAACTGATCAAAATAAACTACTCTCTAAACTTATTTTTCAGTATCAGCAAAATCCCAAAACACTCGAATGTTCGGATAAAGCCAAAGAGTCTGCATATGCATTCAAATATGTCCTAGTTGTGCAGTGAAGTGACAAAAAGAGACAAAATGTGAAAGTACGTGAGAAATACAAAGAGATGTAAGTGGCTTCTTTTTTTGTTGCGCGTATTTACAGAAGTGCATCTCAGAGAATAGATTAATGTGTTTGAGCCTGCGGCCTCACGGCTGAAGAGGACATCACTAAGATTGCAAAAAGAGACTTGAGTGGAAGAGAGGAGACATAGCGTGAAAAATGGGAGGAAATAAGCAGCACTGTACCTGAGGTAGTGATAGTGGTGACCACAGGGGTGATTCCAGCATCACTGCGAGAGAGAAACACAGTCAGTCAACAGCTGCTTCAGCTAAGAAAAACATTTTCACTCAAATGCTTTTGAAACATCTCTGAAAGACTGGCTGGGGCTCTTGAGGTTCTCCGCAAAATAAAATATAAATAGAGAGCCTGATTCATCATTCACTTTTACTTTGTCTTCTTTTGCTGAATACCTACACCAACTTTTTGTAAAACTACTGCTGGAGCTACAAAAACACAAACAAACAAACTGAGAGCCAAGTACCCACAAGCTGTTTGAATGAGAATACACCGAGGGCCAGCAGGCAGAAAGAAACCTGAATCAAATATGTGATACTAATAAACAGCATATGAAAGTATACTAGAAAGAAACAGAAGTGCTTGCATGGCAGCAATAAAAGAGTAAAACTAATAGTAGAAGTCAGTATTACAATAACATCATCACTATGAGTTATGGAGTGTTCATGTCATGCTGGAGTAAAAGTAATTTTAAGTTTACATAGAGTAAAAACTGTCATTTTTTATACGTCTATTATGAAAGTGACGTGACACATGTGACCCATACTTGGAATTAGTGCTCTGCATTTAACCCATCCAAAGTGCACACACACAGCAGTGAACACACACACACCGTACTGTAAATTATTATACACTACTGTTCAAAGGTTTGGGGTAAGTAAGATTTTTCTTTCTTTCTTTTGTTTTTGAAACAATACTTTTATTCAGCAAGGACAAACAAGATTTCTTTTTCAAATAAATGCTGTTATGCTGTTCTTTTGAACTTTCAATTCAAAGAATCCTGAAAAATGTTTTCAACATTGATAATATTAAGAAATGTTACTTGATCAGCAAATCAGCATACTAGAATGATTTCTGAAGGATCATGTGACACTGAAAACTGGAGAAATTATGCTGAAAATTCAGCTTTGCATGATAGGAACAAACTATATTTAAAAAAATAATTAAAATAGAAAACAATTCTTTTAACTGTAATAACATTTCACAATATTACAGTGTTATTGTATTTTTGATTAAATATGCGCAGCTATGGTGAACTTCAGAGACTTCTTTAAAAATGATGTTCTTTAAATAAAAAAATTAAACAAAATATATATATATATATATATATATATATAAATTTTGGATCTGTGCGTTAGGCCAATTATTTTTTTGTTGCAGACATAATTGCAAAACTAAACAGTAATGAAGTATTGTAATAAGTAGTAGTATAGAGAGTGAGTATGGTGGCGTTAAGGAAGAGCTCTTACATGGCAGCCTGTTTGTGGAGCCACTGCTGGCACGCACGAGAGTCATGAATGTACTGCAGGATGTCACACAGCATGTTCCTCTTCCTGCGCTCGTCCTCTCGCATGCGTTTGACTCTCTCGTACACTTTAGCACCTGCGGGCCAGATGACAGATGTCAGACCAGCTCTGAGCAAAGCTCTCGAAATGTGACATCTTAAGAACAATAACAAAAAGCTGACGGTAGATAGTATGGACCATATTCAGATGGATCTGTCATTTCTCACTTGCTGACTGCGTTTAATTTAAAGGGATAGTTCACCCAAAAATTTGCTGTTAATTTACCCACCCTCAGGCCACAAAAGATGCAGTTGACTTTTTTCTTCAGTAGAACGGTAAAGAAAATGTTCAGCTGAAACCGTGGTCCTTGGTGATTCATAAAATGCAAGTAAACAGCTACCGGCATTTTTAGAGTCAAAAACAGCATTGCAGGCACCACAAAACTAATACCCATGGCTCCTGATGATATATCAAGGTCTTATAAAGCAAAATGATTGGTCTGTGCAAGAAACTAAACATTATTTACAACAGTAATCCATAGCCTCAGGCGAACGGGGAAGCCTGATTCTTTTCCGTGAACTGGTTCTTTGGGACACAGTTCGTTTCAATAAACTGATTCAAATAACCGATTCACCAGTTTGTTTACATAATCACGCAATGACGTAATGTATACACAATTATATTATTAAAGTACCCAATAATGACGTGAAACGCAGATGTTTTACATGTCTAAAGCATATAAAGTGAATAAACTAGTCTAGATCACTTCACCATTTTCCATAAACCATGAGATACCATTAAAACTCTCATTTCATTCAAGTGCTCGGTTCACACATGCTCATATCAGCAGAGTCAGAGCCATTTCCTCAGTTCAGTGACGGTTGAAGAAACTGGAGTGCTGAATTAGTTGGCAAAAACCGGCATCATAGGATCATATACACTAGTATTTTGGCTCATTTCAAGTTGGAGTGACTGTTGGGCACATCTGAAAGTGAGTTTTGATTGAGTAACTTATATATCTGTGCTGCTTGAGACGCAAACTGTTTCAGACAGTTCAGTCTGATTTGGTGAACTGGTGCATCAAGTTCACAAAAAAAAAAAAAAAAGGTTCAAAAGAATAATTCGTCCGTGAACCAGATAGCAGTCTGGACCGCTTGCCTGAGGCTATGGATTACAGTTAACAATGTTATAAACAGTGTTGGGCAAGTTACTCTGAAAATGTAATCAAATTACTGATTACTCCTTTTAAAAGTAATCACGTTACAATGTTAGATTTCTTGTTTGCTCTTTTTGACTTGGTCGGTAGCCGCCGACTTGCATTTTATGAATAACCAAGGACGACCGTTTCAGCTTTTCTACTGAAGTAAAAGAGTCTCCTACATCTTGGATGGCCTGAGGGTGAGCAAATTAACAGCAAATTTTAATTTTTTGGGTGAACTCTCCCTTTAACCTCATTTTGATTTAGGCTACCTCCCATGATACATTTCTAAATGAGGGTTGCATCTTACCGCAGAAGGACTGTATTCCCTCTCTCCTGTACTCCTGCAGTCTGCGGATCTCCCTCCTCAGCTCGAACTCCACTGTGAGCGAGTGCGTGAGAGAGAGAAACAGAGCAGATGGAGCGGTGAACTTTTCACCCTGGCTGATTCAAACTACTGGGGCGGACAGACTGAACTCAGACTCAGCGCTGGTGAATGACATAGGGGCTTGTTTATCTATCCCGAACGGTCCTGCACACACTCATTAAACTACAAGACAGGGCTAGACTGATCCTGTGTCAGATGAGGAAGAACACTAGAGAGTCTAGTATATATAAACCAAAATTATGACATCATATACATCAAGTGTGTAAAAAGAGAGATGAATACTCACAGGTGTGACTCTCGATGAATTTGTCGTGCTCTATGGGTCCCACCACGCGTGCAAAGCGCCTCATGACATCATAAAGGTCCTGTACTTCCTTGGGATAACGCCTCTCCAGAACTGACAACACAACAGATGCACATTATCAATTTGATGAAGTCAACAAAACACAATGGCTCTGCTCTAAATCCTTCTTAACAACCTTCTTGTCTACATAGGCAGCTACCTTCTAAGTGAGCATCCTATATGAAATGAAACCTTATAAGTGACTGATTTGGCACCGTCACACAAAGAACACAGGAGACTCAAATCACAATTGTTTCCAATGGAGTTTGACCTTAGCATGTTGCCAAGTTAACAGCACTCGTATAATCATAAAAACACATAGCATACATACATATTTGGTCAAATTTGTACCTTTAACTTGCTATTTTTCAATATTGAATAAAACACATAAACGTAAAATGGAGTATACTTTGAAAGGCTATGTGCTCCTATGATCACAAAGCATTTGTGTCAAAACTGACATATATTTTGAGCTTTGGAATAGGTCAGTAACATTCTTGACACTTGGCTATTTGTATATTCTTTTTGTACACACTAACATATTCAAGAACATAACAGCTGTGCTCAATTGACAAGTTGGAAAGAATACATTTGTATTTAAGAGCTGTATCTTTCTTTTATAAATCTGATCAAACTAAAGGCTCTGTAGATATGAAGGATGCAATACCACTCTATAGGTACTCAAGATTAACATGAGATTGGCAGAAACTGTGAGTGTTATGTCCCCTTTAAACAAGATGTTTTAACTGTACATCTACAAAACAATGAATAAATAATGTGCACTGGGTGTGATTTTGCTTTTTATGGTTTTATTCAATTTATGAAGGTGCTGTAAATTTAATCATTATGTATTCTATAATTGTTGTACAATACTATGGTATTTTTTACAACTTTACTGTAAATTCAGAGTGTCCCACTTCATGACTTTGTGGTGACGTTCATATGCATTCATTTCGTAAATATATTTCTGACATAATTTGAAAAAAAAAGGGCTTTCAATAAAACTTGGCTGCCTTGTAGAAAGGCAATTTTTTTTCTGTGCTACCTGACTAGAGACAGCACAGAAAAAAGGCTGTTGTCTTTCATTTTGCCAAAGAGGTAGGAAAACTTCAACACTCATAATGCACTGGGCACATTGCTGTCCAAGGCCACTCCCAGTTTGGATAGGCTTGACCAGAGTTAAATCTGTTTAGCAGGAGTGAGGTTTTATTTTGATGGGTTGCCGTGAAGCCCTTTAAGTTTCTGTGTATATGATATGACAATAGTTTTTCTCCAATAACATGGTAAAATGCTCATGAACTAAGTGACTCTCAGAGCAGCTCTGGAGATGAAGTTTGTGTTCATATCCTCATACAGATGACTACAAACACAGGTGAAATGGAGGGGAAAAAATTGCATAAGTAAAATCTGTAGTTTTCTTGAACACCTGGGAGCTTTGCTAACAAATAAACATAAATCTCTCTGCCCATGCCCACAGAGAATAACTAAACATTGTTCATTTACATATAACACTGACACTGAAACAATACAAAGCGGGTTGAAAATCGATCAAGTTACATTTTAAGGATATGTTTGAGACCCTAAAATGATTTCTAGGTAGGGAGCTTACTAGGTTTTGGAACACAGCTAATCTGCTACATCAGAAAAACTGCGTTTGATTGGCTGTGTTTGAAAAGCGAATGCCAACAGCAATGTATCAAGAGTCCAGCTGTGCCGAGTGGCCCTGTGAAAGCCTGATGGTTCTTCACCCACCATTGAAGCTCGGCTCACTTGGAAGAGTTGAGCGAGCAGCACTCTCAGCCATCAGCCCTGCTGCTACGGAGCGAGAGAGATAGAAAGAGAAAGCTGCTATGTGGGTGAGTGTGAGGTGTGATATTCTGCCAACGCTAGCTTGCCGAGATGTTACCCAGAAACACACACCTCTCCCTGTCACTCTACAAAAATCAGTCAAGATGTATCAAACTACAATATCAGTGCCCTCCGTGCAGCAGTGGCTGATGGGATACGAGACCGGCTGGTGTGTGCACAGCCAGGTCAAGCTGTCTTGCGTTCTTGAATTGGGGATAAACCAACACCGCTGCGAGCCATCAGGTCTTGGCCACTGCTTCCATTATCACTCGCAATACACACACACACTTTCCCGCAGTCTCCATGACAACAAGGCTGCAGTTCCACGGTAACTATCGCCTCGCTTTTGTCTTGAGAGTGCAGGGAGATGATAGATAAATAAAAACGACTTAAAGCCCTCCTCGCATCACAAACACTCAATACGTCTCAGCAAAACACGCAAACCTGATTGGATTTCCCTGCACCCAAAGAGGAAATAACTGGATAAGCATATTCTTATAGAAATCGGTTGGCCAACTGAAATGTCCATGGGGAAATAGACATAGACGGGTTTCTATTTACTGAGAGAAGTGACATGGTGCCCAGAGGGCATGGATCAATAAAGGCTCGTAAAGATGCAATCTCCTTTGTCAATAAAGTCGAAATGTTCATTTCATGCCAAACTATTCACAGCGGAGCAATCACAGCTGGTGAGACAGCTCTGGGATCAATGTTGATCTGGCATTGCAGTATTCCGGGTGCTCATTGTAAACATTTGGCACAGATGGCTCGTGTTATTGGAGGTCAGGGAGGGTTATCTTGTGGCAGTAACTTACTTCCCCCATGCAAATACCTGCATGGGGAACATACTTTACAACCTCACATACACAACAGAGTACAAGAGATGGCAAAAGCGTTTGGCTAATATGATGCATAACACCATGTTTTAAAAAAAGATTTCGTCTTACTCTGAAACTTGCGTAGGTTGATGAGGCCATGGTCTCGAATGATCCTGAAAGACAACAGTTGACACATTTCACTCTATATTCTGAGAGAAGCAAATCAAACTCAAAGTTATCTTAAGCATGACTAATGATCCTTAAATAGAATATTATACAACAAATCTGGCTCTAAATATATTCAAGTGTGTATTATATATATATATATATTAAATAAAAATGTAATGAATTTATTTTTTTTCACACTACTGCTCCATAATTTTTTTTTTTTAAAGAAATTAATACCTTATTTAGCAAGTACATATCTGATTAATTAAATGACAGTAAATAAATTTATAATATTGTTATTACAAAAGATTTTTAATTCAAATAAATGCATTCTTTTAAATCCTGAAAATGTACCAGTTACCGCAAATCAAAAATTTGTTAATTCAAATTAAAAAATATTAAAATAGAAACCAATTATATTTCACAATGTTACTGTTTTAGTACTGTATTTTTGTTCAAATAAATGCAGCCATGATGAGGATAAGTGACTTCTTAAAAAAAAAACAAAAAAACATACTGACCCCAATACACACACACACAGTTTTTGGCACCTCTGTATATTACTATTAGCAGATTATTTGTTTATTGTAATTATTACTACTAAATGCAACTTTTTAAACATTAATTTTGTGACTATCATACAGGTTTTATCACCATTTTATTAAAGCAACACATCACTTGAGGCTGTGCATTACAATGACTTCACATCATGCCTTATGCATGAACAATCGTTAATACAATTTATGTTATTGTTTAAACGGTCTATCATGTACAGTCTATTATTTACATCATCTACAGATGCTGCTATTTCACAGATAATTGCACTGGGAAGAAAATAAACATGACTTAACCATGGTAAAATGACTGTAATGCACAGCCTTGGTTTGTTGCTTATTTAAACACGCTTGGCATTATGAGCTGAGGGCTATGTTTTATTAAAAGCATCTCATCCGTGGTGTGTGCTCGGGGAGAGTGGCGTTTGGTGTGCTGGTCTCAGATGTTGTGTGGAAGCGGAGAGAGTCACTGGTCTGTTTGCTGCTCTGCAGGAGATCTCAGACGACAGCTGCGGCTCCACTTCAGCACAGAGCTGAGGTCAAGCTCACACACATAGCACTAGTCCTTTACAGGGCAGCCAGGCCTCATTAATGCTGATTTACACACCGTTACTGTTACCACTAGAGCTGTTTGTGTTGGTGAAAATCAGGCTGGCTGATCAGTTGCTATGGATTAGGTTACATTGTAACACACCAGATGTTGAACTCAGTAATGCATTTCAGTGGGTTGCATGTGCATGTGATAATTCGATTCGATTCTTCAATTAGTAATTATTATAACAGTATAGTATATATTTTGTTTATTGAGAAACATTTTTAAATGGAAATATAAGGAATGCTACAATTTTAGGTTTAATTAAATAGTCAAATGAGGCCCTCGAGTGGTTTTTCTATGGCAGTACAGCATTTTTTCCTACTTACTTTTTTCTCCGCTGTCTCTCTTTAAGTCTGGAGTGATATATGTCAACTACTGCAACCTTCAGTGCTGAAAAAATGTATGGTAAACAGAAGTTAACAACAAATCAGCATCTATCTATCTATCAAGATTTTTTTTTTAAATGTTTTGCTGACTTCATATTGTGGCATTGTGCTACTTACCATGAAGAATATCAGAGTCATCATCAACAAAGTCGATATCTTTCAAATCCCACTCAGCATAATTATCAAACTCCTAATTTACATAGAGGCAAAAAGAGACAAAAATGGTTTGATCTGAATAATGTACAAATGAATTTGTTTCCAACAGACAGCACATTAAGATCACTCACCTCCATGAAGTCTGCTCGAGCCGGCATGTATCCAGCCATATCTCTGGACAGCTGAGAGTCAAATGAAGGCCTTGGAGGATCATCAGTGGCTGAAAGAGACACAAGACACAGCCCTTGACTACTACTGCCTAAAAATATATTTATATACTATAATCAAACATCAATCATCACAGTTTCAATATTGTAGAACGGTCTCTGTGTGTTTATTTGCCTTAAAAACAAAATAAATCAGACAATCCCATCTAGTGTTCATGCTGTTCATCTGTCTGGCCAAAGTGTGATAAATCAGTGCCTGCAGGGGCTGTTGAGCACATGATGACAAACACAAACGGTTACAATTAAAGAACAACAGATTAGAACAAAAACAGATTTCCTGCAGAAAAGATGGTCTGACTGATAACAACTAATCCAATCTGTCTGACAACCTCAACTCTTGGCCAGACTGAACACGGGACTGCGCATAGTGCTCATTAAGTGTATTAAAGGAGGATGACAGTGAAGAGAGTAAATATTACATTAAAAATCTCCATAAAATTATCAGTAATTATAGTATCAATTTAATGCCATTTTATTAGACTGATTAGAAATATGTTCAAACCTTGTATGTGTTTATATTTAAACAGTAGCTTGATTCTGGAGCTCACTTACGCTTAAAGGGAATGGCTGTGTCTGCTGTCCGGGACAGATGATCTTCCATCTGTCTGAGATTGAGCAGAGTGGAGGAGAACAGAGGATTGTTGATGAAGTTCTTCATGTAGTGTCCTTCACACTCCTCTTTGGTTTTGGTGCGCATCTGGTAAGCCACGTCCTGCCTGAAGAAACACCCAGATATGTCATTAGCAGTGCTATTTATTATTATGAACATATAGCATTTATTAATATTTTTTAACTAGCTTTAACTTTTATATTTTCAGTATTCACTTTAAGTTTTAGTCTTTTTTTTTCATATTTATAGTCAGCTTTAATTTATTTTTATTTCATTTTTAGTAATTTTTGTACTTCAGTTTGAACTTATTTTATGCCAAGGCAACATTTCTAATTCTCATTTAAGTTTAAGTTTTCGTGTAATATTTGCATTTATTTGATTACAACTTTATTTAAATAAAAATAAAAATAATAGTTTAAGCTTACAATAAGAAAAACTTAAGTCACACATTTGATCAAAAATATGATTACTGCATTCGTAAACTATGGTTTTGACATACTCCAAGGTATTTAAAGGGGTCATAGGATGCCCATTTTCCACAAGTTGATATGATTCTTTAGGGTCTTAATGAAAAGTCTGTAACATAGTTTGGTTAAAATTTCTCAATGGTAGTGTAAAAAACACCTTTTTTACCCTGTCAAAAACAGCTCTTTTCAGATCAAGACGTTTTTTTTGTAGCATTTTCCTTTAAATGTTAATGAGCCCCTCTCTTCCGAGCTGCTCTCAGAGAGACCGTTTACTTTATCCGCATTCATCGTGAAACTTGCTAATTAGCATATTATTAGGAAAGGCGATTTGCAAAGATTCATTACAAAACATTATACT